GGGTGGTGGGTGGGTAAATGGGCAAGGATAGGTGGGTGGGTGTGTGGATATAGGTAGATTAGTGGGTGTGTAGGTAGGGAGATGGATGGTGGATGCCTAGGTGGGCTTGGTAGATGAGGGACAGATGGGTGGGTGGAAAAGTATACATCAGTGAGTGAATCAGTAGATGGAAGGATGGGCTGCTGGATGGATAAATGGATGAGTGGGTAAGGGATGGATGGATGAATGGTTAAATGTATGAGTAGGCGGGTAGGTGGATGTTTGGGTAGATATGTGGATATATGTATGGAACAGATGAGTGGGAGGGTAGATGGATGGATAGTTGGTTGGAGGATGAAAAAGCAAGAGGATGGATGAAGAGGAGTTAGAAAGTTGGGCAGAGAGACAAACAGATAACTAGACAGATAAATAGCTGTATCTGTGGAGGGAAGAACTTCTTTAACAAACAGATTTTGCCAAGCAGGAAAAGGAGAGAAAAGAGAGCCCGAGACTGTCCTGGAGAACCCTGGGTGGGGGTGAGGCAACCCTGAAGGGGTTTCTGAGAGGTAAGGAATAATCCAAAAGGTCTGGGCAAAGTGGTTGATTATACCCAGGGCTTCATGGAGGTCAGAGGATGTCATGCAGGTACTCCGGAAGGCAGATGTCCATTGCTGTGAGAGTGAGAAGCCACCCTGGGAGCTGTAGGGGTGCAACAAGGGACAAAGGGAGGCAGCAGGAGGTGCCAAGAACTCCAGGTTTGGGTGATCTTGGCTAGCAAGTCAGAAAGGGACCAGCCTGAGAAAGGGGGTGAGAATCTGGAGCCTGGACACCCTAATGCCAGTTCCACAGGGGCCTAGGTCACTGTAGAGTTGACAGGGAGTGGACAGGCCACAGTGGGCTTTCAGGAGCTGATGAGTGGGAACACACTGCACTGTCCTCAGGGAGGTGGGCAGCTCTGGGCCTCCCTCCAGCCACAGCAGACACTGAAGGCTTTCAGAAGACTCACTGGCTGGGAAGGTGGTCTGCCCAGAGTGTGGAGTTCAGCTCCAGGCCCCAGCCTAGCCTCAACTCTGTCAAGCCAGGGCTGTCTCAGGAGCCTGGTCCCCTTTATTTCCACCTTGCTGCTCTCCAGTTTTTCTCTTCAAGGATGAGCTTGCTTCTTCCAAGCAGTCCCCATGACCACTGTACACCCCGAGTTTGGAAGCAGCCCCTGGATATGTATGCTGCCCTGGAGATACCCCTGCAAACCTCCAGTGGTCACACCCCACAGCACGGCCAGCAAAGAGACCCTGGAGGGAAAACGAAACTAAAAGCTAATGCTGACTGGTATGCTGTCTTGTACCTGTAATTTCAGCACTTGGGGGGCTGAGACAGGGGGATTGGGATTGTTATGAATTCTAGGCCAGCATGGATATCCATATGCAGTTCCAAGCTTGCCTGGGGTAGAGTGTGAGACCCTATTTCAAAAAACTAACCAAACACAATAGAAAGAAATGCTGGTGGGAAGCAATGACTGGGGAAAGGGCAGGGTCCCAGGCACAGGGCCTCATCCAACTGCCTCAGCCTGGGCTCCTCCCACATGGGGGAAGGGCAGATGCCCACTTGCCTTGTGATGGTGCGGGGGAGGGGGCACTAGGGAAGAATGAAGAAATCTAAGCATCTAGAGTTGGCCTCACTTTTCTCCCAGGGTCAGAGACCCTGAAGACCATCGCCACTGGACAGGTGGATCTAGTGAATACTGGGGACAGGGTCCCACAAAGCCTTCAGAGACGGAACAGTGGAGGTGACTACATGTGCAGGGAGCCCATCCCAGGTATTTGTCACCCTGAGTCCCCATGTCCATCATTAACTGGGATTCCTGAAGTATTCTGTCTCCACCCCCACCCCCAAAGCTAAGGGCAATGTTCCCTGGGATGGATATCCGTGGCACAGGACTCATTGGAAAAGCACCATACGATCCCTCTAGCCCCACAGCACCCCACCTTTGAATATTTGGGGCCTCATGTTGTCCCCAACCCACTGGGTTCCTCAGAGAGTGCTTCACTGAGCCCACTTCTTGTGGACGAATCAGAGGGATGCATACTTCAAAGGTCTTCCTCTTCACCTGCTGCCTCCCAGGTACCAGGCACCCTTCTTTTTTCCTTCCCACCCAACTTCCCCTCCTTTTGACCCCCCAAATAAAACAGAAAAGAACTCAGGAAATAGTATTTTAAATGCTTTATTAGGCTTGCAAGCGTTAACAGGTTAAAAACAAAACCCAGCTTTGGATTTTGCCAGAAATAGCATGTTAAAGGGACTGAGTTGGGGCAAACACCCGGGGCCACTGCTAGATGACACAGGCAGTGGCACAGGTGACAAATGGCGTTCGACGCGTGGGGGTCTTCAGGTGATGACAAAGGGAGGGGCCCAAGAGGGGACCCCCCGAAGACAACAGGGAAGAGATAAGATGGAGGGCCACACTAGGCATGGGAGACCAGGTAGGTGCCTGCATCAGGGTGATCTATGATTGGGGAGAACTGCAAATTCGGGGACACAGAGGATGGTCGGCAAATGCCCCTAAAGCACCCATTCCCGCGAGGCATATCAAGTGGGTGGGTGTCCAGCTGAATGGGCAGGTAATTTAGGGTGCCTCGAGATCTTTTGGGTATCGGGCCAATTCACATTCTCCAATTATAACAATTTACTTCTTTTAGTTTCTGTCCAATGTTCCGAATGGCCCATTCTTCAGGCACTTGCCGAGGAACCCTCTGTGCCATGGTCGGGCTGACACACACCGCCCCCAGGGTGGTGCCAGTCCTGTCACCTGGGCCCAGAAGCCTCAGGCCTCTAGACTGCTAGTGGACTGTTGGGCAGGGGGACTGCACTGGAGGCAGAAGTGGGGGTGAGGTAAACCTCCAGCCGCCCTGGTCCCTGCCACAGTCTTAGGTACCGTGGGGTGGCTGCTACGGCTCACCAGACCCTCGGGCCTCGGGGTCCAGGCGACCCCTTGTACACAGCTCTCCTGGCTCTGCAGGCTTTAAGCCTCCCAGTTTCCCCAACTCCAGGCCTCATCCCACCTTGCCCCCAGGAGGTCTGTAGAGCTCCAGACCTCCTGGGGGCAAGGTGGGGTGCTGAGGAGTGGGCAAGATGACACTGAGGGACGGGGAGGAGGACTCCCCAAATGCTCAGAAGGCGGCCACTTGCTCCCGCCTGATGGAACCTGTCTACTCTCACATCTATATCCCCTTCCCCCCCAACTGGCAGTGGCCAGCTGGGGGCCCCATCTTTGTGGCCTCCGAGCACCGTCCTGACACTTGAGGGGACACTGCCCCCACGCCCCCTCCACTTCTCAGAACTCCTGGGACCAGCCACTGTCCTCAGAAGCCAGGCCAGGCAGCGGCCTTCTCAATTCCTTTTATTTCTCTGTGGGTGCGTGGCCAGCACACAACAGAGACTCCACTCCCAACTCAGGCCAAGCGACAGAGACAGATTACAAACAAAAATCATAAAGGGTGATAAATGGCGGAGAGCAGGACATGGTGGTACTTGGTGATGATAGCTTAATGCATTCATTACGTGGTCACTGCTCCCCTGTTACTTAGGGAGTGGGTACAATTTGATTATGAGCGCATAAAAAGCTAAGGAGGGATAAAAAAAAACAAAAAAAAAAAAAAGGAAAAGACGCCCCAAGAAACAAAAAGAGGGGAATAGATCAATTGGCATAAAATTTGGGGTCCTAATTCTGTAATTCTGCAAGTTGACCTGTGCCTCCTCCTGATTCTTCCATCCAAAACCTCTCTGGGACCACTTCCTATCCATAGCTCCCCCCACCCAGCCCCCACTGCCCCCCACCCACCCCTCCAACCGCCAGACTTCCCACACTCCCCACCATCAGTGTGAGTCTCCTGGGGAGCCCCTAAAAGGTGGGGGCTCCCCAGGAGACTGACAGAGATGGCCCATAGGTGTGCTCAGGGTAGGGGGTGTCCCCCAGATCTTTCCTCCTAGGAACACACCCAGGGTCAGGCTACTCGGGCAGCATGTCTCACTTGGCAGTACCATCTCCTTATCTGGCCAAACTTATTCTACACTGGGGGAGGCCAACACGTAAGGTGGCTAGGCATTGGCCCACATTGTGGGGGCTGGGGAGCACTGGCCCAGATGGAAGTGAGCCTTGTAAGAACACCCCCCTCCCTCAGAAAGACAGAACTAACAGCCTGATCATACACAGGGCCCACAAGCAGCAGCAACTAGATGGACTTGGGGGGGGGGCTAAAACGATGCAAACTGCTCAGGGAATTTGGGACGAACCTTGGTTTGGGCAATGTGGTTCTAATAGGAGTTATTTAGCAATTTCAATGTTCTCATCTAATTGTGAGGGGTGTGCATACCTATATGAGTGAGTGTGTGTGTGTGTGTGTGTGTGTGTGTGCGCGTGCGTGCATGTGTGTGTGTGT